ATACGTCCTAACTTGAGGAGTATTCATATAACTGCTGGGAGGATCACAGTAAAATCTTGATTTTACATTCTCACTTTCACTTTTGTAAAAATCACAACGACTGGTATCACTTGTCATTACCACAATATCCTACAAAAAAAAAATTGAAATAGAGATATTAGAATTTTCAGATGTAATGGAATTAAATGTCTATAAACATTATTTATTATAAAGAAAAACAAAGCCAAAAGTTAGTAACATAAACTTTGAAAAAATGTCTGAAGTTAAGTTCTTTTTAAAAAACTGTTTTTTTAAAAGGCTTATTTAACATTGACTATTTTACTTAAGAATCTGATCATAAATGAATGACGGAACATAATTTTCTTCAGTGAACTACACAACAAAAACATAAATTAATTTAATAAAAAACTCAGCAATAAATAGATTTACTAGAAGATAAAAATAGGTGATATTAGAGTTAACATAGGAGTTATCATTTGTGCTTAATCTAACTTTGCTTTAAATAAAAATCTTATGTAACTTACAAAAAATTAGTTATTGTAATAAAAATATTTTGTTTATTAAAAATTCAAGTTATTATTATTTTATTCATTTAACACCTAATATAATCTACGGTAAAAAAAATAAAACTAAAAAAGTTATTTCTCGTGATTTTCACTAAAGAATTTTCAGAATTTGTTTAAAAATTCCTATTTGTTCTGTTGCATTCTAGCATTCTATTTCACACTTTAAATTGATCAAGTGTTATTTTAAAATAAATTTAATTTCTTGGTTAAAATTTAATGTTTCAAATTTCATTGATGTTCTTTTATATAACTAATATATTTTAATTTTAAACAAAATTAAATTTTGTTTAAAATTAAAATATATTAGTTAATGTCTTTATTTGCTAAGAAATGCAATCCAATGTTACGCAAAGTACAATAATTAAGCCATATTAGTTGTACCACATTTGTAGCTACTACGCCCCACAGTGGTCAACTGAGCTATGATATGGTGAAAATATTCAAAAGTAAAAAGAATAAAAAAAAAACAATTTTGAACTTGAAGTTAAAAAAGTATTAGAAAAATATGTTCTAATACTTTTTTAACTTCAAGTTCAATGATTAAGTAGAACATTAAAAACAAGCCTTTTTAATGTTCTCCTTAATCATTGAACTTGAAGTTAAAAAAGTATAAGAACATAATTTTTCTTCTGTCTCCAAAAATATTTTTATTCGACACCAGATGCGCTGTAAACAAATTTTTTTTTTCTTGCATGGAAAACCATAGATTTTTATTGAAAATTAGAAAAGAATTGAGGGTCACCAAATAAAAAAAAATACATTCATGATTACATGTAATCTGTTAACTTTAAATTATATTAATTGTAATATAAATTTTTGGTTTTGAACAAGCTTAAAATGGAACTTTGAACAGTACAATATTTTCATAATAATCTCAGTAATTATTTGCATTTTTAAAAAGTTGTTGAAAAGTGTTGAAAGTTATAAAATATTTTTTAAAAAGCTTAATCTTTTAGATTCTTTTAGACAATGAAAAATTTGTGTTCGCATATTCCGCAAAATAGATATTTTTAAATTTAAAACCTGACACTTTTGTATGTGTACGTCAAAAAACTGGTCAATCCGTACATGCACAAAATTTTCGATAGCGCCAAAATTTTATCATCGACCATAAATTGAAACTGAACTTGATTTTTATCTGAATCTTTAAAAGTACTTTTTTTTTAACTTTTTTATTTTTCATCCAATTTTTAAATGTTTGTAAAATTTAGCTCAAAATTTAGCTCTTTTTATTCTCAACATTAAACTGCAATGGTCAGCCATCATTGTTTATAAAATGGTAAGAATTATTAGCATTTTTACAAAAAACTACGATAAAAACTTTTACAAAACTATTTTTTTATTTGAACTATTTGTTTTTTGCCCTAAAATTTTTTGGTTTTCCAGGATTTTGTATTACTATTGTAAAAATAAAATAAAATGATGTATTTGTTCTGTTTTAGACATACCCCATTCCAAGAATAGATCTTCTGAAAGCTATGCACACTAGTGGGTTAAGGTTTACTGATGTTCCTGGTCAGCTGAACTTCTTAGAAACCTACATTCTTTTTCATCTGTTAGTCACTTTTTAAGGGGTTGTAGACACATTGGGAGAACTCAGGCAAAAAAATCAGAAGTTTTTTAATCAATGTAGAAAAAGTATACAAGAGAAGGTCCTACCACATTGACAGGTTCTTTGAAAGTGCAACAAAAAGAAGCTTTCTTTTCAAGGATTTTACTCTTCCTGATAAACTTTTTAAAAAAGTTGAGGCCAAAAAGAACTTGTAAGTGAAAAAAATCTATTTGATCAAGATTAACTTGGATGAATTCTGCAATGATTATACTTTTGAATTTACTTTTTTTCTTCTCTTATAATGTGATGTAATTTATAGTGCTATCCATGAAAGGAATGTTTTGATAATTAATTACCTTTTTTAGGGACCCATCTCGACCTAAGAAATCAAAGGTAGGACAACCTTCAAAAGACTTTTTTTCAAAAGAACAGAAATCTCTCAGCGGGAAGCAACTTTTAAGAGCAGAAATCTCTCAGCGGGAAGCAACTTTTAAGAGCAGAAGATTGCGCCAATCATGAAAATGGTGCTATCTTGTTAGCTGCAGCTCAATCTCCAACAAAACTAGGTTTATGGTCTGCTAACTACTAAATCAGTCTGAAGAGACTGTCAACAAAGCCTTAAAGGCAGCTCTGGAACCTCCTCTACAGATGCCTGTCCTAAAAACAACAACTGCTGCCCTTGCTTTCATCCTCAACAACAATATTTCTAAGAGAACATATTGCCAACTTAAAAAGGAATGTGCTGAAAACTTTTCTAACATCTGGCCAAATTATAATGCTGTAAGTGAAACATTAATTGACTCTTCAGTTTATAATTATAATAAGAATAGTCAATAATTTTTTGCTGAATTTCAACTGAGGTCTGTAAATTTGATTTCAGGTTCTTGAAACAAAAAAAGACTGCAGGCCTGATGGAATTGAAGTAGATGCACTGATAGCAAAAGTTCCACTTCAAAACTTCTGCCAAGGATTCTCTGAATCTTTGCTTTTACTTCAAATTTGGCCTAGATGCAATTGGTTCATTTGCTGCCTTCCATCAAAAGTATGAAAGTGGGAAAGTTCCTGATGACAAAACATACCTTGTCTCACAAATGGTTTCACTTCAAGCAAGAGATGAAAGCAACAAAGATATGATTTTTTACAACAACAAGGATGTCTAAAGAAAACCTAGCTTGTGAAATAGCTAGACTCCAAGCAGAGATTCTTAACCTTCAAGATCTTATTCTGGTGGATTCTCCAAAAGTAAATTACTCCAATTATAAAAAAGTTATAAAAAAGATTTGAAGAAATCTCACTGTAGGTATTCAGAGGAAGAAAAAGCTCAAATGAGAGTAAGAGAAGAAAAGGTCATGAAAGATTTCAAGGACTACCTTGGTTTGAATGTGGACCAACACAGAGATAGTAGAGCTGGCACAACAACAACAGGAAATACTGCAAGAATAGCATTTCAAAACCCAGGTATCTTAAGATAATGAGAATTAGAAAAATGTACTTTGATATTTTCATAAATTTTTTCCTGCATGCCAAATATTTGAGGAAACTTTCTTCTATTTCATTGCTGTACAATCATGCAATCAATAAGAAATTGGTTTATGATTTTAGTCATGATTGTTCAAAATTAATTACTTCTTTTCAGTGGTCACAGCTAAAACTTGTGGTATTCCTCAATCTCTTGTCCAAAACTTGGTTATGGTTTGGGGTGCACTGGCTTGTGGATTTGCCTTGGATGCTGAAGCATTTGGTAGGCTCTGTGATGAAACTAAGGCAATCTGCGATAATTGCAATTGCTTTCCAATCACTCCAACTCTTCACAAAGTTTTCTGTCATGGTAAGGCTTTGGTTGGAAACTGTCTACTACCTATAAGATTGACAAATGAAGAGCCAGGAGAAACCCTTCCATTCTTTTATGCGCTTGACCAGATCTGACCATGCCAGGAAGACTTCATGGACTTATGGTTTAAAAGACTTGTTTTTGCATTTGATTAATTAAAGTGACCCTGTGATCAGAAGTCTGTCAACAAAACACAAAAAATAACAGAGTCATTCACAACCTATATCCAATGAAATCAGGAAGTTGGATTTTAACTCCTGTCTTGCAAATAGTTGGGGATTCTGGATGTGATTCTAAAAATGACCTTTGAGCCTTAAATTGTAAAATTTGTGAATGACATTCAGTTTTTAGAGTAGTTATTTAATTTTATTATTTAAAAGTACTTTCAAATTGACTTGAAAGTTGACTGAGAGTTGACTGAGCTAGAGTAAACATATGAAATTTTTAATGTTTTTTGTCATATTTCTGCTATTTTTTATATATTTTGTGTTAAAATAATTTTTTTTTAATTATAACTAATTTTAACCAAAATGACTGAAAAAGTCCCTAGAAATAATTTTTTTGCCATTTCATAGCTCAGTTGACCACCGTGCGACCATATGAATATTCATTGCCCTATACTTTGTAATAGAATTTTAAACAAAGCATACTTACAGTAAAAACTAATTATATGTTGTTTTTGTTTATTTATTGATTTAATAAAAAAAAAAAACACACTGTAAAAGTAATTATAGAAACCAATTTTATTAAGCAACTAACAACAATTAAGTTATTACAAGTTATTAACTTAATTGTTGTTAGTTGCACAATAAAATATTGTAGAGTATCGCAAATATTTTTTGTGACACTTAGACCTTTCGTTGCTTAAAACCTTTGTTGTTTATTTTATACTAATCATAGAATAACTTTTAAAAAATTCAAACTAATTAAATAATAATAAAATAATTCTGATCATGTGATAAAAAATAAAAAATAAAAACTATATTATGTATATTAGTAAAACTATTTTTATATAATTATGCAAGTTGGTAAAACTGGTTTATGTAGAAATACATGTTATGTAGAAACAACAAAATTTTAGTTATCTTCTTGTGATTTCATCACCAGCTAAATTGTCAGAATATGAATTTCTTTATTCTTTTTAATTAGCAAAACTTCGTTGTTTAAATTTTCAGTTTCAATTGATTTTTTGTTTCTCTTACAGAGATAAACAATAGTTGCAACATGTTCCAATTTATAATCTTTTTTTGCCAAACTAGCTTTTAATCTTCAATATATATCCATCTAACAAATTATTAACTAATCATGGCATGCTATTAACCATGCTATTAATTATTAACCAATCATGGCATGCTATTAGGTACTACTTGCTCAATATATGTTTGATATTCTTTTATAAAAAAGAAAGTCAAGGAGTAGGCTGGATCAAAAATGGTGCACATTACTTTGTGTTCAAAAAAAAATTTATTTTACCTAGTTTTTTTCTCCTCATACCTATGCTTTTATCTATTGAATGTCAGCCTATTAAATAAGGAAAGGACTTGAGGTTAGTCAATAAGTGTTTTTTATTTACCCCTAAACACTTGTCTAAAAGACCAGCTACAAGACTCTTTTCTACCTTTGATCTACTTTTTTCTTTTATCTATGATTTTTTTTTCTGTTTGATATCAGTAAGTACTTATAGTAATTGATATGGAACTTTAAAATTTCTTATCAATGTTAAACTATTATTGAATAACTATCTGAATGTTTTCTATTTATCTCAGGTATACAGGACCTACAATAATACTTATAAAAAGAAAATGAAAAAACTGTTGTTACAACCTTTTCTCGAATTATTAACTTTAAAATATGAGCCAATATTGAACACAGAACTTAGTGGGGATTGAACCAAGAACTTAGTGGGGATTGAACACAGAACTTTGTGCTTATGGAGCAAGCCTTCTACCACTACCACATTTTTTACCAAGGATCTTCAAATATCTTTTCTTGGTATCCAATTTTTATAATAGCATTTTTTCTTTACTCAATGACAACTATTTCTGAAATTTTATAAATTTAAACACTTTATTCTAAACAGTCTAACTGTTTTTAAATTGAATTTTTATTTTCTTTAATATTAGTATACAAATAAAAAATATCAAATATCAAATATGAAAAACATAGAAGAATAAAAACAATATTTATTGTTTTTATATTTGTATATTTTTCAAAATAAATTTAAATGTATAATTAAGTCTATATTTTGTTAAAATTTTTGATTTTGTAAAATATTTGACTAAGGGTTGAGAACCATTGATAAAGAAAGCTCTGGAAGATGTCTGTAAATTAAAAGTTTATTATTCAACAAAAAATGGAAGAAATGTACATTAATCAAAATAACAAACCTTCCAAGGTGTAGACCTCCAATAGGGATAGTAGTCTCGCTCTTCTGGACATTCGTATGCATAACGAGTACCTGCATTATTTTGACGAGTATACTGTGCAGTGACTCCTCTCAAACTCTAAATATTTTAAACATTTAATCTATGGAAATTAAAAATTTTTAACAATTTATAACAATTACTTATAAAAATGATACAAAAAAATTATTGATATAAAAAGGTGAAAGACAAATAAAATAGCATTCCTTTTTAATACCATTACACTAAAGGAAAAAAAGAAAAATAATTTCAACTTTTTTTTATGTAACACATTCATGAGAACACATTTTTAAAGGAACCCCCAAATGACAAGTTGTGCATATAAATTTTGTAAATATTAGAAAAAAGTTTAGAGTTCATTAAATATGTTTTCTAGTAAAAGTTTAACTTTTAAACTTTTGGATTTTTCATTTTTGTTTAGTAGAAAAAACAATTTATAACTACCCTATTCAAATAAAATTATCAAAAAATTAAAAAAAATAATAATAATAAAAAAAATAAAAAATCTTTTACTTAAGAACTATAACTTAAGAACTATAACTTGTCAAAAAGAAAAAAAAAAGAAATTTTGCAAAAAGCGAAATTTAATTTTAAAATTATATCATTGATAACCCAAATGGCAATAGATCAAGATTACCTCCTAACCAATATACCAACATTACATCCTTTTTACTGAATTTTCTAAAGCATTTGACATAGTTCCCCATAGAAAACTTATATTCAAAACTGAAATGTATAGTATAAAGGGATTAGTTCTTAGATCTTAAATGCTTCTAAATTATTTCAAGTGGTGTACCTCATTCTCAAGACTGTTATGGGACCAATTTTGTTTTTAATTTATATCAATGATCTTCTAAATAAACTAAAAAATAAATGTAAGTTCTATGCTGGTAAGTGCAAAGCTTTCCAGATAATCTGTTCTAACAGTTGTAATGATCTACAGGATGACATAAATTTTATTTTTAATTTGTGGAATGACTGGAGTATGCAATAAAAGTTAGACAAATGTAAAGTTATGTATGTCATTAAAAGAACAAAATTTAAAAATAATATCAAAAAATATTACATTTCTGACTATCTTAGTGTAATATTAAAAAATGATCTGAAATGTGATGATCTGCATGAGTTTCTAAAGCAAATAGAATTTTAGGTCTTACCTAACACATATTTTCATTTTTAAACACTGGTATAATTAAATTGTTATACATTTTGCGCAAGTACACCCTTATTTTGAATATGCCTCTTCTATTTCAAATCCATTTTTTTTTAAAAAAAGATATTGTCCTTATTGAAAGAGTACAACATAGAGCAAAAAGACTAATTCTACTTAGAACTACTTTGTGGAAAGATTAAAAAGACTGAACTTAGCAACCTTATCTTAAGAGAAAGAAGTTACATGGCATCTTCCTTAAAGAACTAAAATTATTATAATTATATTATATATAATATTATAAATAAAAAAACTTGTTTGATTTAAAATCTTTAAAAATCATATTCTTGTTATACAATATTTATATATGTTGAATTTGATAAAGAAGGTTGCGTATAAATTTTTTTTTTGTATTAACTATATTTTGATATAACTATATATTTATTTACTATATTTTGCTGATCTATAACGATCAGCATCATCAGGTGTAATAAAAAACATTACAAAGTTGTTACAAAACTACATAAATCAAATGGTCAAAAAAAAAAAGACATTACAGGTGTAAATAAAAACTAAAATAGTTTTTATTAAATAATATAAAGGCATCAGTTAAAATTTGACCAAATGGTCTTTAAGTTGTCCTGTTCTTTATTCATTTCACCTTTTTTGAAGAAAATTTATCGTTTGAATCATCAAGTTTCATGTTTTTTTTCTTCGTTTTTTAGTTTTTTGTTTGCCGTAAAGGGAATAATCATAATCTGTTTGACTTAGGAATTTCTTTTTTTTTATAAAATTTTAAAAAATGACAGTGAAAAAAAATGACAAGTGCCAGTGAAAAAAAATGACAAGTGCCAGTGAAAAAAAAAGACTAGTGCCATTGGCACAGAAAAAAATATATATATATATATTTATAAGATTTTAGATATTATTTTGAATCTGAAATTGATTTTGGAGATTCAGTTTTAGTGTTACCACGTGAAGTAAAGTAAAGATAATAACAAGCCCTTAGCTGAAGTATTCTGCAGAACTGATATTTTGCAGAACTGATTGTATATATAATTTTGGTGTTTTAAATGGTAATAGAAGTAGAGACAGTATTAAAACTCAAAGTAGTTGTGTCATGTCTATCAATCATGTCAATGTCCATGGTGGAAGGTTACTTCTCTCCACATTTTTCAAACTTTATTTTACAAAAAGAAGTTTGGGTTCTAATTATTACTGAAATCAATCGCTTTGTTCAACAGTTTTTTTTCCCTGAAAAAGATATACGCTTATAATAAATTGTAAAATAAAATTTTAAAATTTTAAAAATTATCATTTACAATAACTATGTTTACAATTTCTTTAGTTCAACATTTTTAAACTAATTTTTTGCATCTTGTAGAAGTAAATAAGCATGTAAAAAAAGATATTAGAAAAAATGACATACTTGATCAGCTGTAAACAACCCTCTGTTTCTCAGTGTTCTTGTGCATCTCATGTAGTATTCATAATCTTCATTCATACCAAATCTATGCATAAAAAAAACCTAATTTTGAAATTTCAGTGAAAAAAAGTTAAAAGACTCTAAAAAATAAAAAGAAATAGCATCTAATTTTGCATTTCTTTAGTCAGATAAAAAAAAGTTGTAAAAAAGAATATGAAAACCGAATTTTTCAATACAAATTTTCAATATGAAAGAATTTTTAATTGATATTTTTCATTTAAGAAATATTACTTATTGACAGAGAAATATTAACTATTGAATAACAAAAAAAAAATTTTTATCTGATAAGCAGAAATTTAATGTCTTGGTGAGTTTGAGGTTGATTAAAAATGTTTGAATTATCTTTAAAAAATTGTTTAATTTTATTTTAGATCTATGTTTTGATTACATTTTTAAACTTACTCCTCCAAACAAACAAATAAATAGCTATAAAAAATTGTTATTTGCTACAAGTTGATAACAGCAATATTCTCACAATTGTAAATAGATTTTATTATTAGTGCCAAAAACTAATCTATTGATGCCATGTTAGAGACTTACAACAATGTTAGCCATGTTAGAGACTTACAACAATGAACTGAAAACTTTAATTGGTAAAAGCATTTGAGTTGCCTGAAGATTATTTATATTATTTGAAATATAATTAATTTTTAATTTTTTTAATATTTTGAAATATTATATTATTATATTTGCTTGTTTTATGGCAACGATCTAAACATATCGAGCAGGAGTGAAAAAATCTGAAATGAAAAAAATGTATTAGAATATTATTACTTATTTCTAAATGTTTATAAAAAACAAAAATTTAATTTAAAGAGCTTTGTAAAAAGTTTTTTGGTAAGGTTATTTTTTTGCTTATAACATATACAATATACACATGTATACAAAATTTTTGCTAAATAATATCATAATCCACTATAAAAAAAAATACTTACCTAACATCAGTGTTACAATCATTTTTTGCGCAACCATTTAAGTTTGAAGGAATTGCACTAAATTAAAAAAATTAAAACAAAAAAGACTAATTTTTAAAAAAAGTTGTTTTTTTCCAGCAAGTTTACAACTTGTAGTAAACTATGGTATAATATTATATTATTAGAGGTTTATTAATATAGTTAATAAACCTTGAATATTATAATATAATATTTCTTTCTTATTTTAGATTTTTATCATATTATTATACTCTATTCTGCTGGGCATAAGACTTGTTTCAGATGTCTTAAAAACATTTTTAAGACGTTTAAAACACGTCTTGTGCCCACTGGGTATATTTTTAATATAGTTTAATATAATCTCAAATACAAGCTATATAAACTTATTAGTACTTATATGAATAAACAGTATATCTTCAGAGGTTAAAGACACATGTATTAAGGAGAAAACTATTTGTTGCAGGTCAAAGCCTAAAATAACTTGAAAATAGACAAAATATATAAAAACAGCTGGAATTTTTTTAAAAAAAACAAACCAATTGAGACTATTAATTACTGTTTAATGGTGATTGATGAACTAATTGTAAATCCATCAGTAAAAAGTCTGACAAAAATATCAATATCTTTTACAAGCAAATTAGCAAATTAATTGCTCAGTGAGCAAGAAGATTTTTAAAAATTATTATAATTAGAATTTAAATAAAACATTTGTCCTTTCATTTTTATTTTGATCACTTTGTTTAATATTTATATAAAATGCTTTTTAATTTTTACTTTTTATTTTTTTATTTTTACCCTTTTTATTTAAATTATAAATAAAATTAAAATATAACGCTCGTTTTGCAGGTGTTTTTTTTTTAAATTATTCTATCAGTCTTAAAAAAACAAACATTTTTTCTGTTTTTATTATAATTTAAATAGCAGAAAAAAATTAAAAGAGTGTGATAAAAAAATTAAAAGGCTCTAAAAAATAAAAAGAAATAGCATCAAATTTTGCATTTCTTTAGTCAGATAAAAAAAAGTTGTAAAAAAGAATATGAAAACTGAATTTTTCAATACAAATTTTCAATATGAAAGAATTTTTAATTGATATTTTTCCTTCTCACATTAATTTTTTAAATCACACACGCCAACTTAAAAATTATAGTTTGTCCAGCGCTTTTTCGTGCGATGGCATTAAATTTTAAACAGAGAAGACTGATACCAGGGCTTCAATTAATGGAAAAAAATCAAATCACAAAAATAAAAAATTTTACATTCTCCCTCCTTCATTACTTGCACCGCTTTGCAGTAAGAAGGAGGGGCTGCGTTAGCATAAAATTGTATCTTTTCTGAATTAGTTCATAATTGTTGCTTTTTAAACATAATATCTCTCATTTAAATATTATCTTATTATTTTCTTGTTTGGTGGAGTTTAAAATAGAGTTACTGTAAAGTTGCTGTTATAATTTACAGCTCAAGTTAATACTGTTATAATTTAAAGTTGCAGTTATAGTGTAATGAGCAAGTTATAATGTAATGAGCAAGTAATGCATTTAATACTATTACAATATTACTTTTAGTAATTGTTTTTAATTAACATCATACTTAAAAAAGTAAAAGTAAAAAAGTTAAAGCATAAACCTAAATATTACATATTTATATTATTTATATAAATATGTAATATTTATAAAAATTATATTAAACGCAAAGTATAAAAGTATAAAAGTATAAAATATTACAATATTTAAACCAGTGTTGATAAACGGCGTAAATCTTCTTGCCTCCACTTTTCTTCCGCAGTAGACGACTGCTGTCTCCCAATCAAATTTTAGCGGCAAAATGTTCTTTCTTCCGCCTCCATTGGCTTCCGCTTTTCTATTGGCAGCTGCAGCCGGAGTTCTTTTTTGGAGGCAAAATGTTTTGGAGGCCGATGTTAATAGAGTGGTGGAAGCCAATGGTGGCCGCCTCCAGAAGAAATTTTGGAGGCAAAGCCATTTGGAGGCCGCCTCCAATGGCTTTTGCCTCCTAACTGGCTGCGGCTGTCAAATCGGAGGCAGAAATATTTGCCTCCCGCCGCACAGTGAGTCAAAATCCATAAAAAACGGCAAAAATCCCCCATAAAAAACTTTTGCTAGAAAATAAATAATTAGTTTATAATGTTATTAAATACCACTAAAAGACAATAAATAATTTTTTTTGTGAATAATTTTCAAGATTTCATCAATTTATACGTCTTTTTCCGAGACTTATTTATTTTATTTTATTTATCGGAAAACTCGTTCAAAAAAGTCTCGCTTTAGTGTCACTCTTTTAAGATTGATATAGGTAAAAACAATTCAAAATTTAATTTGAAGTCATATGTTTAAGATGTTTGATAACTATTAACAACATTTTTAAAAATAAATTTTAATTTTAGATTTTCATTACTGAGATCTCAGAAATATGTCATAAATTGATTTTTTTAAATTAGTTAAATTAAGAGTTTAGTTCAAAAACTAAAAGACTCCACTAGATTCCATGGTAGTTTTAATATTTTCCCATTAATAGGTATATATGAAAGCAGAAAAAATAAAAATCATTTGCCCCAACTTGCCCCAATTAAAACAAGACCTTTTAAATACTTTTTGTATTTTTGTATTATTTTTTTTTCCGTTTTTAATTATAACTTGCGCATAAAGTAGCGAACAATAGTTCATTGCTTGCATTTATCACACAAATAATACATTTATTTCCTATTACTAAAAAAACACATGCTCAAGCAGATGGTGCTAATTATCAAACCTCAAAACCAAAATAAGCAACATTTGATGTTATAGTGCATATTTTAAAACTCAAACTTGCGTGTAAAATAACTAACAATAGTTCATTGCTTACATTAAACATGAAAAGAATACATTTAGTCCCTATAATTCAAGAGTTAGGAATTAATCATGATAATTTACTCAAAGCTCTTATAGGTGAGTTTTGTAGACTGGGGGGTCTGAACTATGAAAGTATTGACAAACCTGAAACGTTAAATCTAAAGAAAACTCTAATAATATTTAAATGTAAATTCCGATCAAAATTGCAGAAATATTCAAGAACTTTCTCTAGACTTTTGGAACACGAGCAAACTTGGTTGAACAAAGATGTAACTGTTGACAAAAAAAACTTTGCAGGAGTTACAGGCAGAAAGAGCAAAAACTGGGAAGATTTAGGTAATAGAAGCAGAAGATCTAAGGTAGTAATAAATAAATTAAGTTCAACCCAGTTTGAAAAAATAGTTTACAAACTTAAATATTAAATATTATATTGTTTAAGGTTACCAAATTGGCTGAACATCCTGCTGAAGCATTGGCATTAGCTTCAATTAAAAAAGCCACTAGAGATCCTACCAAAAAAGATTTCGTTGTTCTCATGAACAGTGCAACAAACTCTAAAAAAGTTAATATCACGGAGATAAATTTTCCGATAAAAATGAAAACCGAAGATGCCTTGAGCTTAAAAGTTCAGAGTGACCTTTCTGATGAGCAGTATTAAATTATTAGAAATTCATCAATAATACATAATGCAGATATTTATCCTTCACTTCACAAAAATAAGAATGAGAGACACAAGTGTTATCCTGAGGGTTTAATTGTGACAGAAAGATCTGCTTCAACTCCCCTACAGGGTATGTTTCATCATACTCTGACAAGAATATTAACTTTTACGGAATGCCAAGACTCTATGAGAATGTTTGCAGAAATTGGGGGGAAGTTTAAAGGTGTACTTTACTTTAAAGGTGGTTTTGATGGTGCCTCCAGTCAAAGTGTCTATAAACAAAAATATACTGATACAAATATTGGTGAGGTCCAAGTTAACGAGCAAAGTCTTTTCCAGACAGCTATTGTTCCACTTAAATTAACCATCACGAACAAAAATATTTGCGGATTTAAGCCCAGTGAACTTAATAGCCCAGAATTGATCAGATCTAAACCAATTAATGAAAAAGCATTATCTTTAGGCCTTTCTACTCTGCATTGTTGGCTCAGATCTTTTGAATATATTTTACATTTAGGATATAAGTTAAACATTGAATAATACTTTGCCAAATCCCCCACTGAAAAAGCATCAGTGAAAAGTAGAAAAAAGTAGAAAACTGAGGTTTAGAGAGGAGCTAAGTCTTATAGTTGATATGCCTAAACAGGGTTTTGGCAACACTAACAATGGAAACACTGCCAGAAGGGCATTTGAAAATGCTGAAACTTTCGCTGATATAATGGGAGTGTCAGTAGATGTAATTATTAGACTGAGGACAATCCTAATATCAGCATGCTCCTGTTATGAGTTAAACTCAGAAAGTTTTGGCCAGTATTGCTATGAAACTACAGCTCTTATACTCAAAAACTATTGCTGGTATATGATTCCCCCAACTGTGGGAGGAATCATATACCAGTGTGAGGCATTAGAACTGCCAATTGGTTACTACTCTGAAGAATCACAAGAGGCTCTAAATAAGGAAATTCGCAAAGCTAGATTAAACCATACAGCCAAGATATCAAGAAAGAATGTTATGAAAAACCAGTACCAATACCTCTTGATTAGAAGTGATCCTGTAATATCAAACATTTGTTTCAAAAAATACAAGGTTGAAAATGGAAAAACACTTACCCCTGAAGTTTTATCTTTGTTAATGCTGTAATAATGAAATAAAGCTTTTTTATAACTTCAGGTTTTCTTTTTTTGTTTTCTTGAAAGAAAAATGAGATAAATATTTATTTTGTATTTAATATACTTTAATATTATTATAATATTAAAAGATTTTTTGAATCCAATTTTTCTTTTTAATAAGTATATGTTTTGGTTTGAAGAATTTAATTTTTTTAAATTAAGTCTTTGTGCGCGTAAAAAACTATAACACGTATACGCGTGTATACGTGTTAGTGTCTTATACACATGTACGACCCTTATGCACAAGAAAAATTTACATTAAAAAATATGTGGTATTTTTTTATATGGTATTTAGGATCAAGGAATGTGATTTATTTATTTAAATCATATTTTGCGCGTGTAAGTGAGACTTACACGTGTAAGCTTGCGTTGTACGCGTCATAGGT